GAATTCTGGGAGTTGAAGTCCACGTGTCTTAAAGTTGCCAAGGTTGAGAAACACTGGCCTACAGGCTGATCCCTGGCCATACCGCTTGGTATTCTGCAGGTATCGAGTGCAGGTAGTGCCATCCCAGGCACAGTAGGGGTCCCTCGCTAGGCAGCACTCCGCGCAAGCTTTGCCATACATCCCACAGCGGTGCAAGGGTAGCTGGGAAATGGAAGTTCTGGAGCCCAGATACAGCTGTTGCTGTTGGAAGACAAAACCACACAGTCTCCTTAGGGCTCACTAATACCTGGACAGAAAAGTTTTCCATAGAAAAATAACCTTCTGCTCCTAACAGCTTAGTGTTTGAGAAGCTGTATATAAGGCCTGACCTAGGCTTTCAGGCACCATTCTAATGAATGTATTAAGTAAGAGAAGAATAGATACAATCAGAACCTTCTCAATCACAAACGAGGTATCTAGCAGAGATCCATAAACTCTGTAGATGGAAAAGCATTCTTCTATTTGTTGGGAGGGAGAAACAAGAAATTAAGCAACTTCTGTCAAAACATGTAAATTTCACTCATTTTGTTCATGGACTTCTTGGGGGAAAACACACTTGAATGCAATACAATGTCCTGAAAGAGTTGGGAGAGCCCTATCATCATCATCATCATCATCATCATCATCATCATCATCATCATCCAAAAAAATATATATCTTGGATAATAGAGATGCATACATATAATCATCTCTACTCTGATCATCTTCTACTAACATTTCTCTCCCCACCTGTAATGATTTACATTATTTATGGAGCAATGCACTCAAAGAGATGTTTGCCTCTTGGTTCTAGCAAGATAGTTTCCCAAAGATTTTCTGTTGCACTACATACCCGCTTGGATGAGATCTGCATGCTAGTAATAGGAGAGGAGTCCTGTCAACGAGAAACAGAAATAATTATGATGGCACTGAACTGTTGATAAAAGACCTGCTACCTTCTCAAGAGGTGCTCCAGGCGACTGTAATGGGAAAAAGGAACAACCTTGAGGAACAAGAGGAAGAGCCGCAAGCAAGACAACGGTCAGATAAAAGAAATCTGAGTCCAGGGCAGAAATGTAAATTGAGAAAGTGTCTCAGATGGGACCCTCCCTAATTCTTAGGGAGATAAAGGGAGGGAGGGGGTAAACACATTCAGACTTGCAAAATTCTGTTATTGTAACCTTATAATAAAAGTAGTATTGTTCGATATGACTTTGGTTTCTTTGTCTGGTCTACCTTGAAGGGCTGATACTGCTTCAGGTGGAGCCTTGCACTATCCCAGCCTGAAGCAGGGAAGGTAGGAAACACCTAAGACAGCTAGGACAGCACCTGAATAGACACCCATAACCCAGTCAGTCTATATCCAGCCCAATCCTGACACTTGCGGTCCTGGTGGGTGGCGCATGATCACGCCAACTGGTGGGGTGTGCAGTGCTTTGAATTTCAGGGGGAAAAGAGGCTGCAGGCACGAGGATGTGGACATAACATCCGTCAATAAATCAGTTGTGTCTTTTCCCAAGATTGCTTGGCTCCCCTCTACAGTTGTAGCCCAGTCCTGGGGAAAGACCTATTTGGTTTAAGGAGCTGCACACAGGTGCTAACATGGGTCTTCCCAGGCACTCTGATTGATTATGTGCCATCAAGTCGTTTTTGACTCCTAGCAACCAGATAGATAGACAGACAGACATTCTGAAGCAACCTTCAAATCCAATGCACTGCACAACCTACCTAACCAAAAGTCACCCTGGGGAATAGAGTCCTGACTCCCTTGCTCTAGGACAGTGTTTCTCAACCCTGGCCGCTTGAAGATGTGTGGACTTCAACTCCCAGAATTTCCCCCCCCCCCTTGCTGGGTGGGGGATTTTTTGGGTTTTAGGCTCCAAACATTTTAAAGGGCCAAAGTTTGGAAAAAATTTTTTGTAGGGGGCCAG